ATAAATATTTACTTATCCGCTTTTGGGATCTATCACACTACTGCACACTTCAAGGGTTCAGACACCTCACCTTAAACAGTATCCTACAGCAAACTCAGGGCAAGTTATATTAAACCTGCTCATTTGGAATTAGAAAACCAAAGGGGCAAAATTTTCCCCAAGGCTTTAAAGAAAATTTAAGAAAACAAAGTCTCTCTATATGGAAATGAAGTCAAAGAACTACGTTCGACTTTCTCTTGTGAGCAAAGCAGCAAGAAAAGGGACTCAGGAGCTTAAAATAGGAACTAGACAAGGGAGAATTCCAACAATCCAGCTGCCAGAGATACTCCCTACCAAGGTTTTTATGCAGCAATCACAGCTGAATTCCTCATTTCTAATGGTCCCGTTTTGTGCTCATCCCTTGCACTTTAAATAGCCTCAAATTATGCTCTGAGCAACCAGATACACTAGGTTTAAATAAATACAAATATTTCTGGTCCAAAGGGATTTGTGCCTCATTCATGAGGCAAATTCCTCATTTCTAGTGGTCACATTTTGCGCTCATCACCTGCACTTTAAAAAGCTCTGAGCAATCACATAACCCAAGTGTCAATAAATAAGAATATTCCTGATCCAAAAGGATCTGTGCCTCACTCACAAGGCAAATGGCATTGATTAAAGGGAACACAAGAATTCCAGCTGCAGCTTGTGTGGCTCTACCAGAAGAACCCTGGTGCCCAATGGCTGGATCAGTGTATCCCAGCTCTTCCCTCCCTCCCTCCAGCTCTTACCCAGCAGTGGGATCCCCAGCTGGCGCCGGAACAGTGTGTGGATCTTCTCGAGCTGGCTGCACAGCACCTGCTGCTGCTCCGGGGATGGAACACTGCCAGGGGCTGGCTACCAACAAAAGGAGGGAATTCAATCAGCTCCAAGCTGATGGACACGATGGGGGGTTGTTTATGAGCTGGGGGAGCCGAGATCCAAGTGGACACACACGGCCAACTCGCATTTCACTGCTGGGAAAGCTAAAACTTGGAGATCACTCCACTGGGTCAATGGGAAAAGCATTCCTGACTGAAAGCTGACACAGGCACAGGGAAATGATCAAGGAGAACAAGTAACTGTGCTGCTTCACAAACCACCAAAGAGGTTTCAGTAAATCCCTGGGGTGTGGAGAGATGATTTAGAACTTCCAGTTTTGATTGTGTTTGGGAATGAAAGGGCATTCTCCTGTTACCCCTTTGTTAGGGCATTTCAGAGAATGGGGTAGGAAAGGACCTTTAAAATGAAATAGTTCCTACCCCACCATGAGCAGGGACATCTTTAACTTCCATCTCTTATGTTGCTAACTATAAAAATAAAAAGAAATATTCACATTCTGGCCACCTCGTAAAAGTATATTTTGCAGATGTCAAACTCTACTTTCCAGGGATAAAATACCCTCATCCACAAGGCACAGTGTGGAATAATGGATGAGTTAAAAGCTGAAGTAGAGAACAGCCTAGAAACTTAAAACAAGATTGACTCTGTGCAGAAACAGTCACTGGCAATATTGTTTGATAATGGAGCTCCTCAATTTAAAGCTGTTCTCGGTAATTCAATCAACAGAGGGAAACTTTCCTCCTGGATTTGAGATTTTATGATTTTATTTAAGCACAAATCCACTAATTTATCAACCAAATACACAGAATGGCTTTCTCAGAGCAAAGGGTCATTTTTTAGACCTGAAAAGGCCCTTTCCTCAGAGGAGACAGCCCAAGGTGACTCCAGGAGCTGCTCCACAGCTTGTCTGGGATGAGAGTCCTGGGGAATGGCCTCACCTGTGCTGTTTCCAGGATGGCATTCTCGAATTCCCTGTATGCTTCCCACAGAGCTGTGCCCTTGGTCACGTGCAGCCCCACTGCAGTCAGTGCCCTCTCAAAGATCGACCGCACCTTCTCGATCCCTCCTTCCTGACCAATGCCTCCAATGGAATACTGGGCATATTCCAACCAGATTTCAGGACCTGAACAAAGGACAAATAGATGTCTGGGTTTCATTATTTTTGAGGAGATCAAGTCAACTCTGCTTCCCAAACACTTTATTTGCTGCAAATAAATAGACCAAACACATGACAGTTCTCTTTATTTTCTTTTTTTTGTTTATCCAGTAAAGTTAAAATATTGAATTTATGCTGCATCACTTCACACGAATGTTTCAGAAATTAACTTGAAATGTCGATCCAATTTCTGCATTGTAACAGAAGGAAAAGACTTCTCTATAAAAAAAAAAGCCAAATCTGGATGTAACACTAGACATTTTACAGCATTTATTAAGGACTTACAGATGTAATCCTTGACAGCTCGTTCAAACAGCTCATAGACCTTCTCTCGCTCATGGCTCTCCGAAGCCATTTTTATCTCATCCTTCAGCCAGTCCAGCCAGATTTCTAAAAGGAAAAGATTTGGAACACATCACTACTGTTCAGAAATAACAAGTTGCATCCACTTGGTGTTTATTAGAGTTTTTAGGAATAGAGTTAAAATCAGGCAGAGGGCCAAGGCAAAGAGAGGAATTTTAACTTCCATGACTACTCATAATTAATTTAAAATTAAAGTTGGATGGAGATTTTTTAAACTAAACAAGCACCCTTCTACTAAGGGAGAAGTTGCAATTTATCAGCACCTTGGGCAGAGGATCAGGATGTACCTGGAACCAACCTGTCCTCACACTTGTGACAGTAAATGGCTTTGGAGGCTGCAAGATTCCACAGACACAGAAGGAAACACGGAATCATGGAATGGGTTGGATGTAAAGGGACCTTAGAGATCATCCAGTTGCACCCCCTGTCATGGGCAGGGACACCTTCCACTATCCCAGGCTGCTCCAAGCCCTGTCCAACCTGGTCTTGGGCACTTCCAGGGATAGGGCAGCCACAGCTTCTCCGGGCAACCTGTGCCAGGGCTTCCCTTTCTAAGACCAAAATCCCACTGGCAGAGCAGCCTCTGCAGTACTTACACTGTCTCTGTGTTATGAATAAAAAGGAGATACCCATTTCCAGGGCTGCCCACAGTTTCCACCAACAAGGAATATTTTTGCTGCCCATCTGTGAAATGCCACTTTCAGCAGGAGTTTGCTGGGATCTGGGTCACACTCCCTGCCTGAGGGTGCTTAAACCTGGCACGAACATGCTGTTTCACCACTGAACCAGCAATTTCCATAGGTGAAGTTTCCCTTGTGGGGGCTGTAACAGGAGCAGAGGATGCTCAGTACCTTCAGTGAGGGGGAAGAGTTCGCTCATCTTCTGCCGAGCTCTGCGGAGCTTCACCAGCTCTCCCTCCTGACGGAGCAGCTTGATCAGATCCAAGTGACAATTGTAGTCAAAGGCATTGATGGACAGCTTAAAAAACGATAAAAATCAATTCCAAAACCGCTGCTGAGTGACGGACACGAAGAAATCAGAAAATAAATCATAATCTCCTCATGTGTTCACAGAGCCAAGACAACGGAGTTGCAACAAACTTCACCCTTGTTTGTAAGGTGTTTCCAGGTCACGCAGAGACATTTTTAAAAAACACTTTCAGGTCTAAAAGAGCTTTAAGTTAAGCTTAGTGCTCAGCTCAGGGCTCTTAGCTCCCAGGGTTACTGCTCATAAATCCCAATGCAGCAGGAGCACGACAGATTCCAGCTGCACCCGAATGAACAGTCTCTTTTTAAGAGCCAACTCATGGAATATCCTGAGCTGGAAGGGACCACGAGCATCATTCCAGGCCAATTCCCGGCCCTGCCCAGGACACCCCAACAATCCCACCCTGTCCCTCAGAGCGTTGTCCAAAAGCTCCTTGAGCTCTGGTAGCCTTGGGGCCGTGACCATTCCCTGGGGAGCCTGTTCAGTGCCCCACCACCCTCTGGGGGAAGAACCTTCTCCTGAGATCCAACCTAAACCTCCCCTGACACAGCTCCAGACGTATCCTCGGGTCCTGTCGCTGCTCACAGAGAAAAACGTGCTTTAATTTCTTCAAAGGCAATGAAGCCCCCCCACAGGCGGCTGTGCTGCCTCAATGAGTACAAACGGCGCGCTGGGGCTCCACTCGCTGATTTCCCTCGCAAAAAGCCACCCCAAATGCTCAGTTTTCACTTCAGACTCCAAACACTCGCGTCTTAAAACTACGGAATATCCCGAGTTGGACGAGACACGCTAAGGACCACGGAAATCCACATCTTGACACTTCCCAGCATCAAAGTACAGGCACAGTCGTGGCTTATCCTCCGTTCCCGCCACACCCGCTGCCCGCCGGGCCCACCTGCTCCTCCAGCCGCTGGATCTCAGCCTCGTTCTCCTTCTCCTCATCCTCGCCGTCGCCGGAGGAGTCGGAGTCCCCCTCGTCATCCGAGTCTCCGCCCGACTCGGGGTCTCCCTCCGGCAGCCGCTTCTCCTCCTCGGCCGCCGCCTCAGCTCCCGCCGCCGCCATCTTATGCAGCTCCACTCGCCGGCCGCCGCGCTCCGCCGGCCGCCGCGGCTGCCCAGGCGCTGCCCGTCCCGCCGTGCCGCGCCGCCGCCACTCGAACAGGACGGGGAGAGCGGTGATACTCCGCTCGCACCGTCTCGCTCTCGGCCACGCAGCGAGACCGAGCCGCGCTGAGCGGAGCGGCGGCGCGACCCCTTGTATTCCGGAGTGTGGCGCAGGCAATGCTGCGGGCACCCCGCTGCGCGGCCCTCATGGGGCCTCTGGGAGGGTCCGCGGCGTGCGCGGTGCGGCTCGGCCGCCATATTGAGTGTGGCCGGCGCGTCCAGCACACGCGCCGGCTATCGCGATAAAACGCCTGTCGCGACAGAAACAGCGCTTCCATCGTTTATTTACTTATTGATCGTTTAAGAAGTAGCGTGAGGCCCTTCCCGCGGGCGGTCTCCAACGCTCGCTCGGTCTGCGCAGCGAAGCCGCGGTCGCGGTGAGAGCCAGGCGGCCGGCGGCCTAAAGCAAAGGGGCGCGGTTGTGGGCGTGGCCTGGGGCGTGGCTTCCCCGCCCGAGGTTATAAAAGGGTGCCGTGCTCCGCCCGCCCCTCAGTCAAGATGGCGGCGCTGAGGGCGGCGGGGGCGGTGCTGCTGCGGCCCCGGGCCGGGTCCGCCCCGGCCGCGCTGGGCTATCACAAAAAGGTGAGGGGCGAGCGGGGCAAGGGGAGGGACAGGGGGGAATCTGGATGGCTCTCGGTGACACTGTGCCTTCGTAGGTGGTGGATCACTACGAGAACCCGCGCAACGTCGGCTCCCTCGACCGCAACGCCAAGAACGTGGGCACCGGCCTGGTGGGCGCCCCGGCCTGCGGCGACGTCATGAAGCTACAGGTGACCTTGAGGACCCGCTGGCACCTGGCAGAGGGGTCAGATGGGGCTGCTGGGAGGCACACACCTGCCCGTGTCCCCTCAGGGCACAGCGTGGCCTTCCCGCACAGCCGCCCTGCCCGTGCCCTGTGCCCGGGGCAGGGCCCGCCCTGCTCCCCCCGGGCGGGCACTGAAGTGTTCCCAAAATGTTCTCACAGGTGGAGGTGGACGAGAACGGCAAGATCGTGGACGCCCGGTTCAAAACGTTCGGGTGCGGCTCGGCCATCGCCTCCAGCTCGCTGGCCACCGAGTGGGTCAAAGGGAAAACGGTGAGGGAGCCTGGAAAAGCTTCCCAGCTTCACACCAGCCTGTGCTCTTTGTCGGGGTCACCCTGGCCAGGGAATCCCAGCACTGATTTGTGCTGTAGCTTAAAAGGCAGTGACTGCCAGCCCTGACTTAGAACAAGAGTTGCCTTTTCCAAGACTCGTCAGAGAATCATTAACGTTAGAAAAAGCCCTAAGAGCATTGAGTCCAACCATTGCCCCAGTGCTGCCAGGTCCACCACTGATCCATGTCCCCAGGTGCCACATTTTTTGAGCACTTCCAGGGATGATGATTCCACCAGGGAAGTACTTTGTGTCTTATGCAATGAGCAAAACCAGGCTGATGGCAAGTTCTGGAAGAAAGTTTAATTACAGAGAGGTTTGAGATCATTTAAACCTGTTCTACCAGCAACAAATGCACTTCAGTGTTGTGGTAGGGGATCAGCAGCTTAAGTAGTGGCAGTCTGTGACACTAGTGTGTGTTGGTTCATTCCTGCTCTGTCAGATTCCTTAATTCCAACATTCTCCCTGCCCTGGGCAGCTGAAATGTTCTGCCCTTGGGATTCTGTTGGCTCTGGATCATTAAACCCTCTTAGCAAACCCCTTTCCAGCCTGTGTTGTACGTACCAGGACCCCTGACCACCCTCCCTGTGTTCCAGGTTGACGAAGCGCTGAAAATCAAGAACACGGATATTGCCAAGGAACTCTGCCTTCCCCCTGTCAAACTGCACTGCTCCAGTAAGTAAACACCTGGGATTTCAGGAGGATACTCTGGGAATAGCCCAGATGCTCTGGGATGTTGTTTTCCAAAGAGTTTCTGCACAAGGTTGGCCTCGATGTTCAGATTTCAGGGTTAATTTAAGTGTTTTCAGATCCCTTTAATATTCTGGAGCTGTAGCTTAGCGGAGTGATAATAAATGTTCAGATTCCGAATTATATTATCTGAAATTATATTACATAAATTTACATTATATGGGTTCAGTATTCTGTGGATTCAATATTATATGGGTTCTGTTCAGATTCTGCCCCTTAAATCCGACACATGTTGCCTGTAGCGATGGTCACTGCTGCCTGCTCTTGTTTTTCCTTCATCTGTTGTCCTAAAAGCCTTCTAACGATCCTTAAAATCCCACGTTTTTGGTTTGCAGTGCTGGCTGAAGACGCCATCAAGGCCGCCCTGGCTGATTACAAACTGAAGCAGGATCCCAACAAAGAATCCGAGAAAAAAGCCAACAATGCCTGAACTGACTGCGGAGCTTTTCCTCCTTCCTCCTCACTTTGCAGTGCAATTCCCGAGCTGTAGTAGGACCCAGTGCACTACTCAAGCTGTAAGATACGCACAAGTTACGCACAACGTGTCCCTGGTGGTGTCCAGCCACTCCATAGTGCTCACACGGCCGGGATGGGGGGGCTCTGTCCCCACTGGAATGCCACGGGAAGACTCTGCTCCAGAGAGAAAACCCTGCTGGCCGGTACTGGAAGGGCTGCACTTTTTCTTTTTTTTTTTTTTTTGGGGGGGGAAGATATCTAGTTTTGCCTAATATTTTATGGAGTTTAATGGGAAGCATTGCCTTGGTGTTGTATGTGTGTGTGAGCTGTGCTCAGCCCGTGTCCCACTGAGCTGGGGTTGGTTTTTCAATCTGGGTGCAAATTCCTGCTCTTGGAGTTCTGGGAGCCTTCAGCAGGTGCCAAAGGGCAAGTAGCGGCCAGGGAGCACAGACCTGCTGGCTTCTGCTCCCATCCTGTCACCACTTAAATTTTTTCAAGCTCCTGTTAAAAGAACAGCTGGAATTTTGGGGTGTTTTCTCTAAGAATTCTACCCTTGCCCTGGCCAAGTGCTCTGTTACAGCTGTAAATGCTGGGCTAAGGGAAGGTGTCCCTGACGAAGGCAGGGAGTTGTAACTGGATGAGCTTTAAGATCCCTCCCAGCCCAAAGCATTTCAGGATTCTATGAAATACCCCCTCAGACTGGAACCCAGTGGGGAATAGTGGAGCTGGGATATGGAGCTGAGGGGGAGCTCCCAGGATTCCTCTTTTCCAGGGGAAAAGACACTGGAAACACACTGGAAACACACAGGCAGAAAACACACTGGAAAACTTCACATCTTTAGCTTCTCACTCCCTCAAAACACTTCACTTCCCTTTCTTCTTACTGAAGGTGTTGTTAAACGTTTAAAACCACATTTAAAAAACAATCGGTTCATTCTGGTACATCTGGGCACAATATTTGTCATTTTTAACACAAAAAACACCTGTTGCTGCTGTGGTTTGTCCCTCACAAGGTCCCTCTTGTACCTCAGCTCCTGCCAGAGAGTGCCTCACTCCCAGGGAACATTCCTGCTGTTTCCCAGTTAAAAAAAAAGAAAAATGAGGAGAGAAACTTCAAACACCCACATCTACTTTGGGGCAGAGTCAGCTCTTTGTGCTGACAGGCTCTTCCAAAGGGCAGGTTGTCCTGAGGCAGGGACATGTGGACACATACTGACCTCTCCTGTGGCTGGGACAAGACGCAGGGGTCTGGGTTGTAAGGACAGGGGGATGTAGGGAAGGAGGGAGTGGGGATGTGTTGCATTCCGGGCAGAACAGCCTCTCACCTTCCGGGTTTACCTTCCATCCCTGTCGGAGCAGCTGCATCCCAGTGCTGTGGGACAAGGTCCCCCACAGTGCCCCTTTGATCCCCACAGCCCCACTTTACCCCCCCCCCCCCCCCCCCCCCCCCCCCCCCCCCCCCCGCCCTGGGCTGTGGGTACAAGATAAGGGTTTCCTGGAACCAGTGCGTGACGTGCAGATTTGGGGGGTGATACGCAGCCTCCCCAGGGTCCCACTGCCGGGCTCCAGAGAGGCCAGAGCCCAATCCAGCCCGGGGAGGGTCCTGTAGGAGCAAAGGGACACTGGGAATGTCCCCTGGCCCCCCACAGCTGCAGAGAAACATGGAAAAGGTCTGCAGAAGAGATGTTTATTTCTAGCCAGAGGGGTTAAGGAAATGAGGCAAAAGTCCAGCTGGGCTCTGGGACATGCTTTGGGGTGAAAAAAATGAAAGGATGGGCCCTTGTCCCTAAATCCTCATCCCTCCTCCCCTCGGGTGGCCAAGGGCAGCCTGTCCTTGTGGCCTCAGTGCCAAAGCCATGGGCAAAGCCACCCATGATGCCCATGGTCTCATGGAGCCCCTGCCCCGCTGCCCAGGGAGGGGACAGCTACAGATCTTGGCCCTGGTCCTGTCCCTCTTCCTGAAGGGACACAGCTCCCAGCCATGTGTCCAGCCCAGGAGACTGATCAGTAAAATAATGTTTGGGAGGAAGCTGTTGGCACAGGAAGGGCAGAGCCAGAGCTGGGGTGGGAAAAGCCCCTTGGGCAGCAGGAGCAGGGGCTGCTGGCATTCCAGCCGTGGGGGAAACCAGCAGCTACCAAAAAACCCCGTGGATTTACCACAGTGTCCCATTGGCACAAGGGGGGGGGGGCTCAAGGGGGCTGGGGAGGGTGAGGGAGCAGGGTCTTCATCGGGGCTTCCTTGAGCCACCACGTACGTACGGAGCGTTGATCCATGTCCATCACGTGTCCCAATCTGGCGGCTCCTCAGGCTCACCCGGGACCGTGTCCCTGCCTCAGACTCCAGAGGGGGCTGAGGAGCCATCCTGGGGCACGTCAGGGGTCTCCTTGCCCCCTGCTCCCGTCGCTCCTACCACTTCCTCCACACCTGGGTTTTGGGGAGAGGGCTTAGCAGGTTGGTCATCCGCCAACTTCTTGCTTCCTTCCTCTTCTTCCTTCTCTTCTTCCCCGGTGGGATTCTGCTCAGCCTGGGCCCCGTTGGCCAGCGGTGCCCTGGGGGGTGATTTGAGGCTCTGGGCCGCTGCCAGGATGTCCGCCTGGAGCTGCCGGCTGCCGTCCAGCGGCTCCTCCGCGCCCGGCTCGGGGGCCTTGTCGGGCACCTCGCTGAAGGCCCGGGGCCCCCCCACCTTGTCCCGCTCATCCACGTACTTCTGCTTGGGGAAGGACGAGGGGTAGTAGGCGGAGGCCTTGTGCTTCTGGCGCACGATGACGGCGGCGCAGATGATGAAGAGGAGCACGAAGGACAGCGAGCCCACCACCACCACCAGCAGCAGGTACTCCTTGAAGAAGTCCACCAGCCCGTCCAGCACTCCCGGGGCAGAGCTGTTGGTCACGGTGGTCCCCCCTGCGTCCCCCACCGTGGGGCTGATCCGGGGGGTCGCCGGGGGGGCGGGTGGTGTGGCTGACGCCTCATCCCCGTCCCCACTGCCCCCCGTGTCCGGCAGCACCAGGGGGTGTCGGGGAGCTGCCGTGTGTGCTGGGGCTGCCAGCAGCGCCAGCAGCAGCAGCCACATCGCCGACCCCATTCCCGGGATCGTGCACAGGGACCTGTGGGATGCAGAGGGGAGGGTGGAACATTAACACCCCACAGAGCAAACCCCCCAAACCCTGCCTCAGGCCAGCCCCCACCCCAAACCCCCCAGCACAGGGGACTCCGACACTCGCTATTCCACATGCCTGAACTTCCTCGTGGAAATCAAAAGGCAGCTCCGGTCCTCTTGCTCTGCCAGAGGGAGGGGCTCCGTTTGTCTTCCGAGGATGCGGAGCAAACCCAGATGGAAGGAGCTGAGTGGGATTGCTCAAGGCTGGGGAGCCAGGGCTGCTGCCAGCGACCAGCTCCAGACAACAGTCATTGGGCTGATTAGAAAATTCCTGAAAAATGGAGGTTTGCAGTGGAAACTTTGACATGAGCGACGCTGCAACGAGGCCGGGCGGCATTTCCCAACTGCCCGTCCTGGACCGTTACACACCATTCCCAGCTAAAAATAGGCTGGGGCAGGATTTCACCCTGGAGCCGCCACGGCGGCCGAGTGGAGCCGGGATGGGACCCTCTGGAGCCTGTACCAAGGGGCAGCCCCGGAGCTGGGACACAGTAAAGGGGGGTCTTGGGGGTCCCAGCTGCCTGGATGTCCCCAGGGAAGGGGGAAGACCAGCTACATCCGTGTGCTGGGCTCCACTCCCCCATGGGGTTGGATCTGCCCAATGATGTGCTGTAGGACACGGGATACACGTTTCCCATCCCAAAGGAATGGCCCCTCAGGGGTTTGGGAGAGAGATGTGACCGTCCCCACCACGTCGCGACACATTCTCAAGGGACGTCAGCGTGTGCCACGCCACGTAACACCATGGAGCCATTCCCAGGGCTCTTCCCCTCCACACGGCTCCATGGGAAGGTCTTGGGAACCAGCATTCCCCGGCTCCATGAGCAGGGACTACCCCCCTTAGCAATTCCCCCCAACCTCAGGCCCCCCAAACCTCAACCCGCCTCCCATTTCTCCCCAAACAAATCCAGCCCAGCAGTGCTGCGGGCCGGGAGGGATCGAGCAGCAGGACTTGGCTTCCAGGCCCCTTCCTGGCTGTACAATCTGGTTTCCATTAAACCAGAGCAAACAAACGGCAGCAGAGGCAGGAGGTGCCCCTGGACCCCCGACCCTCCCGGCTCACACAGGCATCAGTGCTGGGCTCAGAGCAGTAACCAGCTCCTTGAGGATGAGGGTTTTTGGGGAGCTGGAATGAGCCCCTTCATCCTCCCCCTTCACTGCAGAGAGGGGCCCCTCAGCAGGGAGAGGGGTCCTGGGATGGCATCAATTCCCGATCAGCAAACGGAGCTGAGGAGCAGCCCCTGGCATGGAGGGGCTGAGTGGAGCCCAAAGCTGTGCCAAGAGCAGGGCCTGGCACCACGGCCACTGCCAGTCCTCCATCCCCATCCCAACCCCAGCCCAGCCCACCCTCACCCACCCAGACCGACAGAATGTTCCTGGCTCCAGTTCTGCTTCTCTCTGCTCCCAAAACACTCCAGAAATTCAGGATTTCGGTGTTGTCTGGGCACAGCACCCTCTGACTCCCGCCTGGGAACACAGCCATGTGGCCAACACCAACCCATGTCCCGCCGTGGGGACCATGCCCAGCCCTCACCGCAGCACCCCCGGCCATAGGGCTGCCTGTGCCCCCCTAGGAGCCCCCCCAAAATCGGGGACAGCCTGGCACAGCCGTGGGATCCTCACCTTGCCTGCAGCTGCTGCGTCGGCAGAAGGGAGAGGGGAACGCAGGGTCTGTCCCACACACCTCGAGCCCCTTTCTGCTGCTGCTGGGATGGAGCCTCCTCCTTCTCCCTCTTCTCCTCCTTCTCCTCCTCCTTCTCCTCCTCCTCCTCCTGCGTCGCAGCCCAGGACCAGCTTGTTCTCATTAGGGCCGGGATGGGGAGGGGGTGTGGGAGGCCAGGGAAGGGCAGGCAGCCCCCAGCCCCCTCCCAGACGAAATCCAGCTGGGGTTGGGGATGTTTCCTGCTTTCTTTCCCTGTCAGCAAAAGGCAGGAGCCCTGGTGCTCACCATCACCACTGTAAGGGGCCACTTTTTGGGGTGCAAGTGGGGAAGGGGATCACACAAGGGGGGTGTTGCAAAGGTGTTTTTATCCACAAGGGGGTAGGTAAAGCCCCATATGAGGGTCTGAGGAGGGCAGAGAAGGATGTGGGCTCAGTGCTCTGGCATTACTGGCGGCTGGCAGCGGGGTAAACAGGGCTTGGGACCCCCTATGTTATTACAGGAGACCATTTCCTAAACAACTCAGCCTGGAAATGCTCTGGCACGGGCACCTCTGCCTTGGGGGTCAGGCAGGAACACAAGCTGGGGGTCCCCGCGGTTCCCCAGACCAACGTGGCAGTTCCCCAGGATGTGGTCTCCAGTCTGGGGGTCCGGGGGCGTCGCCTGGGCCCCCCCACCCGCCGGGGCTCTGCCTCCCCCCACCCTGGTCCCTCGTCCCGGGCTGAGGTTGCTCAAGAGGCTGCAGCCGCTGCGTGACCTCATCCTGTTGCTATTTTCCTCTGCTCCTCCCTGGGGACCTGCCAGACCCCTCAAAAAGCCCCCGCCAGCGTCCGGGGACCGCGGGGCCGAGGGAGTCTGTCCCCGTGTCCCGCGGGAAGTGGCGCCGTTTGAGGTCCAGCCGCCGGCGCTGCTCCCGAAATAACGGGTCGGTCCGTCCGTCCGTCTGGCTGCAGCCGCGGCTCCGAGCAGCTGCTGGGGCGGCTGTTCCCGGCCTTAAGTGCTCAGTGATGAAATCTTAGAGGGGAAGGGGGAAAAGCGAGGGGAGGCCGTGGCGGGGGTGAGCGGCCGCGGCCGAGAGGAGTTCCAGAGGCGTCCGGGCTCGCTCCTGCAGCCCAGATGGGGAT